CGTCCCTGGGGTCGGTGGCAGAGCGGCCGCCGCGGGAACCCGCCGTCAGCCGGCGCTGGAAGCCGAGGGGTCGCTGTTAACTGCTCCAGGGGCTGGGGAACTCCGGGACCCCCGATTTGGAAGCCGTGCCGGGAGGTCATGGGCAAGTGGCTTTTGTCTGGGTTTGCCTTGATTTCGTTAATCATCCTGCCTTTGTACGTGGGCACAGATAGGATCTATTGGCCATGTTTAGGTTATTGGATTTTTTCCAACCTTGCTGACATCTAACAACGCAGGTAAGGGAACATCAATGCACAGTAAATCATTGAGTCCATCACTGCTTTTCTGGGTGGGAAAACACCATTCACCTGTCTTTTCACAGCAAAGTCCAAAGAAAGTGTCTCAGTGACCGAGTAAGACTATTTTTCCCCCAACTGGAGTTTTATTAGTTTTGGGTTGGTTTTTTTTTAACTGGAGTAGTGCATTCTATTTTACTCTCAGAACCTATTTAGATTTTACTTAAATAGGCCAAGCTTTAATGCTATGAAAATGCTTTTCATTATATTCATAGAATATTTAAAATATCTTTAAGTGCTGTTGATAATTTGATTGTTTCCTGTGCTGTAAGTAGATTCATGTAGGTATGTTGCATTTAGAAATGAAGAAATCTGATGTGTTCTGTCAGCAAAACGGCTGCCCAACTCTAAATAATCTGGACAAATCTCTTATTTATGAAAGTTGCAGCACTTTTGACTTGGCAGAGATCTGCTAGGATACTTATGTAGAAATGTAGAAGACTACTTAGATTTATTTTTGTATCCTAACAGTAGGAAAATGAAAGCAGACGTCTTTCAGAAACATTATAAAATATTTTGTTATAGGACTGCTCTTTATTTTCTGTATCAGTGATATAGCACAGATTGACACAAACTTGACATTCCTAAACCTAAGCATCTCTCTAGAAGAATATTTTTATAGTAGCTAACAGGAGAGGTCATAGTGTCATAGCTAGCATAGGAGTAAAGGTATGATTTCTCAGTATGTAAAATCCAGCCACGCCTGTTTCCCATTGTTCTAAACCAGGTGTGCTTTGCTTTTTTTAATCCAAATGTGTAACAGAATATGAGAAAATCAGGTCCGAATACCTTATTTTTCCTCTATAAAAATATATGGGTACTTTTTGGTGAAATAAAGGAAGATTTGCATTCATGCCTTGATGCTTTGGCACAGCACCTTAGTGTTGTACGTCAGCATCTGCTGCTGACAAGTTGAGATGCAGAGTGCTGAGGGCTCCTTCTGCTGTGGGCTGAGAGGCCCTTTAATGGGATTCCTCTGGAAAGTTGAATTCTGATATGAAATGTTTCACATTCCATGGCTACAGGTAACCTTTCAAAATGCTACACAGGTGATAAGTTATGAAAACTATTTACTTCTCCCTAACTCCTTGTCAGCACTGTGTTTATGATGAGACTTTTTATTCCTTTCCTTAGTTGTTGTGCGAGATCCACGTGCATGGAAGGAAAAAACATGTTTCACAAATGGGAAAATGTGACTGCAAAACTGCTAGAACAGGCAGTGGGGAGTTGGAGTCATGCCTGTTAAATTATTTTTAACTTTGTGTTGAAACTTGATCAGATGACCTGTTTGTTGTGATCCGTCAGTGCTTCTACATATTTATTATCTTACAGTACTTTAGGGTTGCCAGGACTTAAATGTGGGTTGTCTTTTTGTGACTGTATGCATGTTTTAGTTTACCAGGAAATTTCACCTTGGTATGAGAACCAAAGATGGATCCAGAAGAGCAGGAGTTACTTGGTGATTACAGATACAGAAATTATTCTTCAGTGATCGAGAAAGCTTTGAGAAACTTTGAATCATCAAGTGAATGGGCGGATCTTATATCTTCCCTTGGCAAGCTTAATAAGGTACAGTGTCACAGGAATATTTTTGCATTTCTTTATTGTTATTAACTTTTCTGAAACTTACAGTATTTAACAAAATTGAAAATTCACTCAAGAAAAATAGTAGTTCATAAAGGAGGGGTAATAGAAGCAGCTAAGTCAGCATCTTTTATGTAAATGCAAGAAATTTTTGTAAAACCAACAGAAGTTTCTTTCAAATGGCATTTGTTTCCTTTATACAGCTAAGTTAATTTGGTTTTTGCATCGAAGAAACCTTCAGGATGCTGGTTACTTACTCTAGAGCAGCTAAAAATGTCTTTATATAGAACAGGAGGCCACACGTTTTAGTATATATTATAAGTCAAAATTTAAATGTAAAGATCACATTTACTTGACCATGCCTTTCTCTTGTATTTGAGGAAGTAACTGATTTGGTGCTGGTGGTGTCTTTTGTATGACCATGGAAAATATGGCTGAGTATAGGAAGAAAGAAAGACTTTTACAGAAAAACACCTAGGAAGTGTGTCCTCTCCTCCTGCCTAAGAAACAAAGTGTATGTTGTTTATGTCCCACTTGGTCTCTTTTAGCATAAAGCTCTTTCTGAGTGTACATGGGACAAGAGTAGTTGTAGTCGTTAAGGAAATGGAAGCGGGAGGAGGCAAATCCTGGAGAATTCACAAGGAAATGTCTGTTGTTACCCGATAGCTGCTTCACATGCCTTTCCTGTTGTTGCTAAGCCTTAATTCTACAGAGTTTTCAAAAGGGGGGAGAATTCATAGAATATCTCAAGTTGGAAGGGACCCATAAGAATCATCAAGTCCAACTCTTTGCTACTCGCAGGACTACCTAAAACTAAACTATATGACTAATAGCATCATCCACACACTCCTTGAACTCAGACAGGTTTGGTGCCATGACCCCTTCCCTGGGGAGCCTGTTCCAGTGACTGACCATCCTCTCAGTGAAGAATCTTTTCCTAAGGTCCTATCTGAAAAGCCTCTGATGCAGCATCCTTCCATTTCCTTGTGTCCTGTCGTTGATCACCAGAGAGTGGAGATCAGAACCCCTTTCTCCGCTGCCCCTCTTCATGAAGTTGTAGGCTGCGATGAGGTCCCCCCTTCAGCCTTCTCTTCTCCAAGCTGAACAAAGCAAGTGACCTCAGCTGCTCCTCATAAGCCTTGCCCTTGAGACCTTTCACCATCTTGGTCACCCTCCTCTAGACACATCTCAGTAGGCTGATGTCCTTCTTACCCTGAGGTGCCCAAAACTGCACACAGTGCTCAAGGTGGGGCCGCACCAGTGTGGTGTAGAGTGGTACAGTTACCTCCCTCAGCCAATTAGCTATGCTGTGCTTGATGCACCCCAGGACACAGTTGGCCCTTTTGGCTGCCAGGCCACACTGTTGACTCATATTCAACTTACCATCAACCCAGACCCCCAGATCTCTTTCCACAGGCCTGCTTTCCAGCCTCTTGTCCCCTGATTTGTATGTATAAGCTGGGTTGCCCTGTTCCAGGTGGTGAATCCTGTGCTTGCTCTTGTTAAATTTCATACAGCTGGTGATCGCCCAGCTCTCTAGTCTATCCAGAGCTCTCTGTAAGACCTCTCTACCCTCAAGGAAGTCCACAACTCCTCCTAGTTTGGTATCATCAGCAAACTTACTTAACATACATTTGATTCTTGCATCCAGATAATTTATAAAAACATTAAAGAGCACTGACCCTAAAATGGAGCTCTGGGGAACCCTACTGGTGACTGGCCACCAACCTGGTATACCCCCCTTTGATCCTGACCCATCAGCCCATTGCTCAGCCAACATGTCATGAACTTGTCCAGCTGTGTGCTAGACAGTTTCTCTAGAAAGATACTGTAAGAAACAGTATCAAAAGCTTTGATAAAATTAAAAAAAAACAAAACAGACCAAAAAACCCCACATCTACTGGCTTCCCTTGATCAGCTAGATGGGTGACCCTGCCATAAAAAGAAATTAAATTGGTTAATCAGGGCTTTCCCCTTGTGAACCCATGCTGGCTATGACCAATGACTGCATTGTCTCTCAAGTGTTTTTCAATAACTTCCAGAATAACCTTCTCCATAATTTTACCAGATGCTGAAGTGAGACTGACAGGCCTGTAATTACTAGAGTCTTCCTTCTGACCCTTCTTGAAAACTGAGACATTTGCCAATTGAGTTTTGTTAAGGGCAGCCATGTTCTTTCATCTTCAGAGGAGAGAAGATGGATGTTGCTCGTGCAAGAGGAGTTACGCATTTCTGCCTTCACTGTGTCATCCTGATGCCTATTGAGTTAATAAAGAGAGCTAGAAGCCTTCAGAATGCTTCTTGCAAAAGGGAAAATAAGAATTAGAGTGAGAGATTTCTTACCTGTGGCAAGAGGTAGGCTTTGATCTTTTATCTTGACCTAGATGAACACACTGAAAAGATTAACACCGATCTATCTGAAACTCTTATTCATGTACAGAATTGCCAAAATACGTAGCAGCATAGTAGAAACCAATCAAAAAAGCTTTTAGCTATTACTTCAGTCCATCTGCTGCGGTATTTTATGGACTTAATCATTTTAGGAGCTTAAGAACTGGTTCATCTGCTTCTGTCTGTTACTTAAAAATAAGGATGATATGTCAGAGGAATGTGCTGCCAAAAGGCAGATTGTGAAATAAGATGTCAATAGCTATACTCTTAACTCTTATGATTTCTTGGTCTCTTACATCCAAAAACATAAATATTGTTGTTGAGTTCTGTTAGGGTTGGAGGGAGGGTAGGTGTTTCTAAAATAAGAGCCTAGTTTCTTCTACAGTAATTTCCAAGGGTGAATGAATGAGCAGGGAGAGAATGGGTAGGAGGGAGCAGATAAATAGTATCTCAGTGATAAAAACATTTTTCAACACTGCACGTGTTTGTACTCAGGCACCTGGGTGTCAATAACTGGTGTGCAGTGATGCCTGTTATTAAGCAAATGTGAAAATGCTGAGAAAGGGAGAGAGAAAAAAGGATGGCTAAGATGAGGAGTTTTGGAAGTACTTTTCAGGGTTTTAGAGTAGCATGGAAGATCTCGCTTAAGTATATGTTTATTAAGGATCTTTGTATTGTTGACTTTAGTTGTGGGTGTTCTTGCTTATATAGGTGTAATATTTTCTGAGGCTTTTTCTCCTATAGGCAGCCTTCAACAATAATTTGCACTACTGAGTCTCACAAGTTAACACACACATGTGCGCTCTCTTATTTCTGCAGAAGCTCAGTGGCATTATAGTTTCAAAACAAGGTCTGAAGGAAGCAGCACAGGCTCTTCCTACTTAAAGATGAGGGGAAAAGAATGGAGGGAGCTGATCCAGATCCTTTTGGCCTTGACTGAAACAAGTGATCTGGAGCTCTTGCTGCTGTTACTTCTGGTGAAAAGAGACAGCTCTGTTACTTCTTCCTATTACTCCATAGCTACCAAGGTTAAACTGAAGGTTGTTTTTCACAGTTTCTCTGTTGCGTCTGTGGTTCTAACTGATGTTTCACAGTGACTTGTAGAACCAGGGAAGTAACAGAGAAACCAGTTGACTTTAATCTGAATGGTCAGCCAAACAGGTCAGTTTGTAGATCTAGAAAGATTATTTTTTGTCACTTCAGGGAGATGAGCCCTATCGAACTTCAGATGACTTCAGTGTGGACAGCTTCACCTTGAATCACTTTTAGGCAGAGAGAGGAATAAGGGGTTTTATTTTTTGTTGTTGTTGTTGTGACTCATCTCTTGCTATTTAAAGTAGGTCAGATGAGCACTGTCCTAAAATTGCGTATGTTCCTCACTGGTTTTATGCCTGAGGTGAGTTACTGCAGTTTTGCCCATGTTTTTTGACTGACCTAGTCTTCTAAGGTTCGGTAAAATGAATCTCCCGTGCAGTGTTCTGAACAGAACTGCAGGTACCAAGCTGAGCATGAGTGAAGAATGGAGAGAAACTGTTTTCTAACAAAAGCTAGAGTTGGCAGAATTTTCTAACTTATGCTACACCCCCGGTTTGTAAGAGAAAGATTTTTTAGGTTTTAATTTGGGTAGTGTGGGTGTTATGCATCATCATGGTAAAGGAGAAACAGTGGAAAGTAACGTTTATAAAAACTTATAGAAGAATATGAATGGACAGATGCAAATAAGTAGATTAAACAGGCAGTAAATAGGAACGTTAATGCTTTAAAGAGAAGCTTCAGCTTTGCCTTGAAACTTACTCGTATTCCACTTGTAAGTATCTTTATCTCTCTGCTTTGATTCTGTTCAAGCTCTGCTTACTATAAGCTGGTCATTTAGTAGCTGCAGCCCAGGCTGCTCCTGGCTTCAAGAAATAGGATTATTCTCTTCTGAGTACTGTTCTTGGATACAGCTTTGAGCCATTTTTTAATCATTTTTGCACATCTGTGTATCTTCACTGTTGGGAAAGCATTGTTTTGTGACTAAGGTTTTCAGGCATTCATTACAGATTGCTGAATCCAGAATACAGTAATCCTTTTCAATTGTCTTAGTGATAAAATGTGATTGTGCTATTGCAGATTTTGCCAGCTTGTTCCAGTGTTTTAAAAGGATCCAACTCTGTGAAATCACATTTATGCTTTGGTAGAAAAGAATGCTGGGGGGGAGGGGTGTTGTCTGTTTAAACCTAGAAATAGGTGGTTGGTTCATATGTGGGCTTGTTAGTGGAACAGGTGCTTTTAACATCATTTTCATATCCAAAATGCTCATCACTGTCTATTCAGAATATAAACAGGTACTTCTATTATATAAAATACATTAAAAAGTATTAACGTAGGGGGACCTCCAGGCAATTAGGAGGCTAAAAGTATTATGAAGTTAGGAAAATCCAAGTGCATAGTTTGCATTAGGGTTCTTAATCCAGATTATAGGGATGTATTTTCTAGAAATTTTAACTCTGTGTGCAGGCAAACAGTAGATGAGTGACAGTCTGCAAAATTAAAAACTGAGCAGTAGTAAATATTGGATTCCACAGCCTGCTTTTGTAAGGAAACTATGAAAGGAAGTTTTCTAAAAAGTCTGTGAAATTTCTGGATTCACAGAAGAGCACAAAATCTCACTGGGTTTTTGGCAAGGGAATATTTAAATCCCTCTGTTTCTTCAATTAATCCATATATATTAAAAAACAACAAAAAAAACCAAAATAACCAACCAGCCTACCAAAAAACTCAACCTGCATCTGCTTGACAAGAATAATGGATAGGATTTTGCCATTCATCAACATGGCAAAACAATCTCCATCAAAAATTTTTCAACAGGATTTGGATATCAGTGGTATGGAACTAACAGAAGCTTTACTAGTGACTGTTGCCACTGAGCCTGGCTGGCAAGCCAGTGTCCCTTTTCTGAGCAAGATGTTAATTGGTCACCATGAAATAAAATATGAAAAATCAATTGTTCTAGAGGGATTTATTTTATGTTTACAACATGATTGACTTGCTCAGTAGCGATAACAATGTTTGCTCTAAAAGAGCACTTTCAAACTGCTTTTTATCCTTGGGCATAACGCAAGTGTGTAAATGCACAAATAAGTTCTTGAAATACTATTTTTTAGTCTTTAGTCTGCCATTTCAAAATTTTGGGGGTTTTTTTGGACTTTCAATAGAAAATAACCTTGTTACTTCTTGCTTCTGTAGGCTTTTCAGAAACTTGAGGTGAATATGATCTCAACCAAACACTTGATCTGTTTGGAGGGGAAGGGGAAAGAGCACAAAAATCATTGCAGCTGCACAGCTATGGTTTGTTTCAGTAGTAACAGTGTTACAATATGTCTGTTATCAAGGGGTAGGAGACAAGAGGATTCTTCTGAAATTCGGATTTAACGAGCAAAGCCTAATTACACCAGTTGCGTCATACGAGAACTCTTGACTGCTACAGCTTTATAACAACTAGTGGCCGAATTGCAAATACAAGCAGCACTTGCCTTCTGTTGAAGGCAAGCCTTCTATCTTTCAGAAGAAGGGAAGCTTTGCCTCCTAATTGCTTTATGGAGCTTCACCACACCCCTTGCACAAATGCAATGTGCAGGACTAGGGATATTTTATAGATCTTTTTCCCCCCTTTTTTAATGTAACTCCAGCTGCTAGTTTACAGTTTTCTCACAACCATCTGTAGACTTCACGTTGCTATTTTTATGGAAACTGCAGCTCTGTTTAGAATTTTTTTTTTTTATCTACTTGGAAAATGAATCAGTGGAAAAAGGAATCACAGGCTCTCCTTTTCCCCTTGTCTTCCCAAGCTCTGTTGTCTAAAAGAAGAATTATAGTATCTCCTAGTTGAAGATAATCTTATAAATTGATGTATTGCTGCATTCTTCTGGAATTCTAGCTATGTAAATAAAAATATTTACTTGATTTGCTTGGTTTATTTATGTCTAGGTGAACTGATCTAACTGATCTCTAGTGGTGCTATAAAGTGGTGCACAATAACTTAAACCACTAATTGTGGAAATATTAGTATTCTCCTTTGTATGTGTGTCTGTGTTTTGTTTTAAGGCACATGTATACGCTGCTGCAATGAATAGTCTTCCCATTCTTCCCTTTATAACCCACAGTCAAAGAAACTCTGAGTATGCTTATGCATTAGAAAATGTTTAGTGTGAATGTATTCTGTAGGCAGTCACAAAGAAGAAGAACCTGTAAAAAGCTGAAAACTGGACATGCATGTAGACACAAGGCATTACTTTACATGTCTCATTTTTCCCTGACTTACTGACTGAAGTATTAATTTTAAAAGCCAGTGGTAGGTCAAATACTTGTTGGGTTTTTGTGATTGTTGATTTTTCACTGATCTGTGAAAACCAAGCCCTGGGATGATATATTGAGTGTGGAGTGCTTGCTAGCAGTTCAGGCTTCTCGAGCCAACCCTTACGAGCAGTTCCAGTGACATTTAACACTTCTGCCACCATAACTGCTCATGTGGAAAGCAGTTGGAGACAAGGGTGAAAAGTAGATCATGGGTGGGCTTAAGCTTGTATTTAAATAAAGACAGTCAAATTAAGCTCACAAGAATCAAAAGAATGGGTGAATAACAGATTTCAAAACCTGTGAACAGGGTCAGTGTTGGATTCTGAATGTGGAAGCAGTGGTTTGGGATGGGATCTTCATCTGCATACAGTGCCAGTGATACCAGGCTTGCTCCCACAACATTTATCTCCCTGTAACAGCTGAAATTATAATCTAGTCCTAGATCTCACAGGCAACTGATTGGTTTTTTTCAGTTATGGGAACTCAGGATATTTAAAAATCAATCTTTTTAGCTTTGCCTGTCAGCTCACAGAAACTAATTGGCATTTGGAAACATGTATGTTATCATGTCACTCATTTCAATGAACAGTTTTAGATCTGTCTGCTAATTAATGTCTTTCAACCCTTTTAAAATTCTTTGAGCCCTGTAATTCTGGGGAAGCTGTTACAAATCTGAACCCTTCAGCAAAGTAGCAGCCAGCCCACCTCTCTGCTGAAATGGCTCTTGGTGCAACCACAGTCTTCCAATATACTGCAGTGTGGTTATAAATCTCTTGTATCTGCTAGAAGATCAGAGACCACGGTTAACCAGGAACAACCATTCTTGAGAAGAGCTGTAGTTTGTGTTCAACCATGTATTTCATCAACCCAAATCAGAAAAAAAAATATTATGTACTTTTAAGAAGGAAGTTTCATCTCGGAATCAGTCTGATGTGTTGGGAAGAAACTCTCCTCAGTTTATGTATGAGGATCATAATAAATGTCTTCAAATCTTGCTCGCTGTACAGAGATGTCTTCTGATTCTTTAGGTGAAGCAGTATAGTTGGCACATGTACATGAACGTAGTCTTGTTCTAAGTTGGTCTCACCTACTGGGATATGGACATAGGAAGGTTTCAGAGTTAGCCAGGAGAAATACTTTACACTGAGTTAACCCTGATTATCCACTATTCAACTCCTAATATTCGTGGAGTGTTTCTTTCTCTTCTGACTAAATGTTTTGATGTTTGGGGAAGGAGAGTTCTTATTTGCTGGTGGAGGTTTTCTTTGCATTCTTAGGAAAGTAAATAAGCCAAACAAGATTTTTAATCAGATGGCATTATTTCTGTAATAGATCAGATTCTCTGGGTAATAAACAGTGAATGTTTTAATTTTCTACCTAGTTCATATTTAAATTTTAACTGACAGAATATTAAGATCATATTTGTTCAGTTTTAAGACTGAGAGAAAAAATATTTACCATTGGCATATATTTTTGTAATTACCTTCTTTTATATATACAGAGGGTGTGGGCAAATACATACCAACCAATATAAACAGCATGTTTCAAAGTCCAGCATTCAAGTAGTCTTCAAAGTTGTTACCAGTATTAAGGATTTCAGTCTTTTATATTGAAATAATATTACTCATGTAATGTATGAGTAAATCTCTCAAATATAAGAGGTATAAAAAGATATAAAAGATAACGCCACAAATGTATCATGGTTTAATTTCATATGTGAAATATTGCTGCATTCTTGGATTCTATTTTTTAGTACCTATTAAAATGCAGATCTCATGCTCATAGTGGGGGAGGGAGGAAGGAAATGAATTGGCTCTGAGTGGCATCTGTACTGGATGAATTTCAGAATGACATGACATTTCTGTTTACTGTTGTTACAGACTCTCAGCCTTTTTCTTCTTGACTAGAAGCTCTTTAGTAATAGCTGGTCTCTCAGTTTAGGCAGGGCAGCAAATGGGAAAAATAACACAATAATAATCTTACAGATTCCAGCTTTTCATGCCTACCACTGCAAAGAGTTAAATGATAAGTTGCACACACCTTTGAAAGATAATGGCTTTTATCTCTTCCTCTTACTGCTGATGAGAGTATTCAGCATTCAAGTGAATATCGTGATCATTGCTGAACTGTTTTGGTTTTTTTCTTGGAAATGAGCAAGGAAGGGTTAGTTCACTTGTCTGCTGCATTTTTCAAAACCTTTTTTCAGGCAGGACAGAAGAACCTCAAGTTTAAAACAATTGCACAGCCATAAGACCATGATTTAACCTTTGAGAGAGTCAAGAATTTGTCTAATCCTGAAAACACCCCAAATGTCAATCTGCATTGAAACATCTGTTCGCATTAGCACACAGTCATCAAAAGCTGAAGTGACATTTAATTGCAACTTCTTTTTTTAATTGTTTCTGAGTTGAAGAGAGATATTTATTTACCCTACTGAAATGCATGCATGGTTCAAGGAAAAACGTAATCTTTCCAAGGAAAGGTGCTACAGTTTTTTTTTTCCAGAGACCTGTCCTGTTTGCAATACTTAGTTAACTATTTCCTGTCCTGAGGATCTTTTACTTATACATCAATACACTGAGGATTGTTAATAAAGCTTACTGAATATAGCCACACAGAATTACAAATAACTTCTAAGATGTTGTTGTCCCATTTAATCATGCCTGCTTTGGTTGGAAGGTTTTTTGTTTCTATTTCAGCTATATGTGAAATTAAAATTTATGAGGAAAGATAGTTATTTAATTGTTACTTTATTTCCTGTCCTTAAAAGCTGAGATGCTCTTCTTGTTACTCCTCTACTTCCCTTGGAGATAGGATAAGGGTACCCTGTCCTGTACTTTGACTTCTTTTTCCAGACTCTAAGCAAAGTAAGACCAGACTTTTCTAGATTGCTCGTGACTGATTCCATATGAAAACTCAGTGGCAGAATTCTGCTGTTTCAGTGTAACAAAATGCATTTATGAGAAAAAAAATCTCTTGAATGCATTTAGTTCTTCTCAATGTGCTAGTAGGAAACCTTTGCATTCATCAAATACATCATCTTTTAAATTACAGCTGTGTATTCTCATCTCCTTTCTTCCACAGGCTCTTCAGAGTAACCTGAAGTATTCTCTATTGCCAAGACGGCTGATCATCAGTAAAAGATTATCTCAGTGTTTACATCCAGCATTACCTAGTGGAGTGCACTTAAAGGCACTAGAAACCTATGAAATAATTTTTAAAATTATTGGGACAAAATGGCTTTCCAAGGATTTATTCTTGTACAGGTAAATTTTCTTTAAAAGCATACACATTTCACAGTCTATTTTAGTTAACTAATTTTTTTCCTTATCCTTTTTTTTTCTTTTTCTTTTTTTTTTTAATAAAAAAAAAAAGCTCTGGTTTGTTTCCTCTGCTGGCGAATGCAGCAATGTCAGTGAGGCCTGTTCTTCTTGGTTTGTATGAGAAATACTTTCTTCCTCTCCAAAAGTCCCTCCTGCCTGGTCTTCAAGCCTTTGTAATTGGACTGCTGCCTGGACTGGAAGAAGGATCAGAAATTTATGACAGGTAAGAACTGATACTAATTCAAAAGCAGTATACAGTATTTTGCTTTCCTGTGAATTCTCATGAAATTTCTGTCAGCTCCCTATGCAGAAGGCTTGATAAAAGAGCTTCTAAGGGTGGAAGGATGATGAGTCCCTGAAAGAAGCAACAAATAGTGCTAAAGTAGGAAAACCCTTTCCCCTTCTATTTTCATCTCAGGAAGAAAAGAGGAGAGAAGAGGAAAAGGAGGGTTAAAAATAGATGTGCTGAGAGAAAAGAATAAAAACTATTTCTTAAAGCTCCTCTCAACTCCTAAATAATTAACCTGACTTCCCAAACTACTGCTCTGTCAATAAATTCTATTTAAATATTGTAACATGAGAGAGCAGCTGAATTCTTTCCAGTCTTTCTATGCCAGATACATACCCTCAGGTTCTGAAAACATGAGCAAGAGGCAGTTCTTCCAAAATCTATTTGCCAGGGGCACTCTTGGGTGCCCCTGGCAGTAATGACAATGGCATTAAGTACGATAAAGTCAGGATCAGGAAGTGTGCTGAGAGGAGCTGCTCAGCACCCATTTGTGTAGTGGTTTTATTTCAGTTACCAGAACTGTTTTGTAAGATCTTACAAGAACTCAACCACTGTATGTTTCATACAAATGTTTCTTTTCTTAGAGTCACTAAACTTTGCATTGGTAATGTACTTCCTTCTGTATTACCAGTCTGGATGTGTTGGCTTTTCTCTCTGCCCTTTTTGAGTCCTTAATAGCTGTCTGTACACTTAAAAAAACAAAACAAACAAACAAACAAGAGAACCCCACAAGATATGCTAGGTTGCATAAATTACACTTAGTAAGCAAAATACTTCTACATCTAATGCCTCTTTTTAAAAACAAGTATTAAGTTGAATGCTCATATCAGTTGTTGGAGTGGCTAAGAGTGGATTACATGTGTTCCCAGCTTGGTGAGTAGCATTCAGTTGCTAATTCCAGAACATCAGATTTATGGGCAAGTACATACCTCTTATACATCTGCTGTAGAAACATGAATTTTAGTGTGTTCTTTTGGTCAGGCAGGCTTATAAATTATGGTGTATTGTTTTCTCTTTCCTACAGCGCTAGTGCTGGGGCCTTAGAGGAGAAAGGGGATCTCTTGGACCTAAGTCTCTGTCTATCTGGAGCCTTTTTAGGGAAACTGAACTTATTTTGAAATTGACTAAATTTGAAGTAGAGAGTTAATGGGAACTGCAGATTAACTTCCAAGATCTGACTTACGGTTTTATAACTTTTTTCCCTATTCATGACAGCGTTGTTTTCCTCTTTGCCTTGGACAAACAGGATCACAGACAAGAAATGACCATATATTTCACTTTCAAAGATTTAGGCTAAAATTAATTTAATATTAATTTGTGAAATATAAAAATTACATGAAATATAAAAATTACAAAACAAATCTTTCTTTAGTTTACTCATTGATCCTGAAGAAAGACAGACCAAGATATCTTTTTGGAATATGTGTTGGATTAAGTTTAAATTCAGCTTCATGAGAGACCCTACTGAATGTTTTCAGAAGGGGACTAACACCGATACATCCCCTACTGTTCCCAAAAGTGGCAGAAGTACTAGCTCAGGTCATGATTCAGCCTAGATGCTATTTCCTTCTTAAACACACACATATGCCTGAATTTGCACACACACACACAAAGTGGAAAAGAAAAGATTAATTGAGGGCTACTTCATAAAGAAATGGAAAAGCACATCAGATTTGGGATTCTCTTCCCTCTTCTCTACTGGACTTCTCCCTCTTTTCTCACTTCTACATTCCTCAAGTGAAGTTTAATTTCCCACAGTATACTAAAATACCAGAGTGCTGACAGACTTACCAAAGCAGAGAACATACGTTCAGTCATAGGACCTCCAATGTGATTGCCATTAAACTAATTTCAATGTACCAATCCTGGGTGCAGTAACTGACAATGTGTCATTTTATCTCATGGTTTTCTTCATTCGGTGACTTACAAATTGAGCCCATTGATTTGTAAGTACAAACATGGGCTATCTTCCAGTTCCCACACTGATAGAATTGACTTTCAGAGTCTAGCAGCAGCTTAAATTATTTCCAGTTCAGCATTGCACACCTCTGATAATAAATATTTTGCAGTTAGAGCTACTGCAGTAATTTGGTGAGAGCTTAATGTTTGCAGATAAATACTGGAGAAGTTTCTAAAGTATGCACAGAAACATTTCATTGAGTGTGCACAGTGACAAAGGATTGAGTGGTTTTTGATTATTTTCGTACAGTCACATGCTGGCTATTGTCATGTGGAAAGGGCAGTACTGATAATACAAAGATGAGGAAATTAAATTATGTCAACTACAATACTAGTTCTGTGTATAATTTCCTTTTTATGGTATAAAACTGAACTAACAAAAATCTATTTTCTCCTGTCAAATATATTTCCATACAGAACAGATGCTTTGCTTGTGAAACTCTCCTTATTGATGGGCCAAGAAGTGTTCTATGGAGCACTCTGGGGTAGTGTCCTGGTCAGCCCATCCATCAGGCTACCTGCTTCTCTTTTTGTTGTCAGTCATATCAACAGAGAGCTGACTGGAAAACAGCAGAAGTACATGCTCGGCACTGATTATAAGCTCACGGTGAGTTCATTACACTCCTTGCAGAACAGTCTTATCTACCATCATACCAGCATGCTAGCAGATTGTGCCTTCTCAGTATTAAATTAGAATTACATGCTCTTAAAAATATTTTGGAGAGAGAGAGAGACAAAAAGAGGGTGAAAAGTCCACAACTTGGAATTGCTTAATATGGTTACTTGATGGGAGCATCTTATCTGAAATGTAGCAGAGAAACTCCAGTACAGGTTTTGGTTAGCCTGCAGGACGCAAGTCATCTGAAGCTTCTGCAGTTTTTGGTAATTGGGACTGCATATAGCCTTAGAAGACTTTCAAATTGGAAGATAAACCTGACGTCTTTTCTCTAGCTGTTCTGAATTTGCATTTAAGGTTGAAGACCAGCTTTTCTGTAATACAGTATGTGCAATGTTTAATGAGGATTTCTCAAAGTGTTTGCCATCCTGGAATACAGTTCTGAAATTTAGTATAATTTTATTTTTTCAGTAAAATGGAAATTTTCAGTAAGTAGTAGTTTATGTTAAACTTCAGTGGTGGAATAACTGTAATTCTAGTTAGAGTACTTTAATATCTGCATTTTGTGAGGCTTCACATTCTGTCTCATGGCTGGTGATGTCACACTGTGACACTGTGTATTGTTACAAAACCAAGTATTTCATAAGTATTAACGATTCTTTGAACAGTATTCCACAAAACTTTTTTTTTTTTTTTAATTCATTTTTGGGGCAGGAGTTAAATGACTGAGTAATTATCCTCTTATTTAAAAAGATGTTGTTCACGGATAACCAAGTTTGCTTTCTTTCCTTCTTGTGATTACTAACAGTGACTGTAGTTTAAATGTTATCATGAAGTAAAGCACCATTGTGCTTTCTTTTCCTTTTGCAGATAAAGTCTTTGTGTGTATCAGTATTGGATTCTAACGTCCTTGTGCAAAGAAACACTCTAGAAGTGATTCTCTTCTTCTTCCCATTTTATACAGCTTTGGTAAGAGGACTATTTTTGTGTTGTCTTATGCGCACTTTGTGCGGGAAGGTGTCTTCTGTGAAACCCATCCAGCTCCTACCTCTGTTATTGCCAAATGTCTGACTTTTGTAACTTCAAAATCAATGAACAGACTTTGCAGTTTCTTGTTCCCTCATCAATTTTAATAGTAGAGGAGACTCTGCTGCTTCTCAGAATCCTTACAGCTTCAAATGGAGATGTGCTTTCATAGTCAATATTGTGTGATACTTGGAATGTGCTTAAAGTATTCAGGCTGGAGAAACTGCATATGGAAGAAATATCGAGCTCCTTTTTTAAGTAGCATTTCAGCATTTGGACTTGTCTGTGCTAAACTCATATACTTCTGTTAAAGACTAGGAAAGAAAATATTACTTGAAACAAAAGCTGTTCCCCATCATCTCCTGAGTAACCTAGTAGTAGTCAGTATTTTGAAAGTAGAAGTAATTTAAAGTTTTAAGGCATAACATAATTAAGTCTTTAATATTTTTAGCTGAACTGTAGCTCTGTACCTTAAATATGGAAATGATCACAATCATATCAGATTCCCTTTCCTGAGATTTTTAGTACACACAATATTTTGTTGTTGATGGTTTTTTGCCTTTTTTTTTTTTTTCAAAACATTAACAGCTGAAAAAAAACCTCATTAACAATTTGACTTGTTTCAGTGTTCATAAACAGCTAAAGTGTCTTTGTTTTTCATCCTAGGACCACAACGAAAGCACTATTCTATTGCACAGGACTGATTTAGTCTATATTCTGTCAGCAGCTACACAGACATTGTTGAGGAGAGACATGTCACTCAACAGAAGATTATATGCATGGTTGCTAGGTACTGTACAATATACAGTGATATTCAATATTCTGATACCTAAGAGTTAAAAAAAATAAAAATCAGTGCTTAAAAATGTAACACACTTTTTCAGCAGTTAATGAATGATGACAAAATAAGGGTTGTTTTGTTGTCATTTCTTAAGTACCTGTTTAATGAACTTGAGCATTCATTTGGCAAACAGGTCTTTTCTTCAGAGGTGAATTCATTTCACTGTCCTGAATCACATGGTATCTGATGCGTTATTTCTGGTCCCATCCACAGTTCATTCTGAAGTGGTTCAGTGGACTGAAGGGAGTGAGACACTATTTTAACCTTGCTCTTCTGGAAGTAGTAGTCTATTAATTCCTATGTGAGCTTAATTGTCAGGGAGGGCCTATAGCTTCTCCTCATCTTTCTCCTTTTAACAGTGTAAGAGGAGGCTAAAGTAACAGGACAAGAGCTGCATCCATGTAGTTGCATGAAGGCTGACCTTGCTGACCCCATGTCTGAATCTGGCCTTGGTTTTGACTTATATTCCGTATAGCATATATGAATGCCTCAAAGTGTGATATGTGGGCTGTCCCTGGGCAGTGCATGAGTTAGTTCCAAGCAAAGTGTTGAAATGACAAAGGTTAAAAATACAGTGTAATTTCAATATTTATATAAATGATGTGTGTGTGGTGCTCTGTACTGCAGTGTTTCTCTGTACTCCTGATGCCTCTGTTTATCTTGTAGGCTCTGACATTAAAGGTGGTACTTTTGCTCCAGACTCAGCAACTTCTGAAGACCATGCTATTTATTTCTTTGGAAAATATTCTAAAGATCTTTTGGTTGAGGTTGGTGTTAATTGTATACAGATGTATACATCTTTATATGATCTTTATAAACGTTAGCACAAACTACATCTAGAATTGTTGACTGTGCCACTTGGTTTGTCCTTTGCTTTCTGTCCCTAAAGACAGCATCCTTTTGGTGCTTATGTTTTCATCTATCTGAATGCTTGCTGTGCTGTATTTACTCAATATCATGTGTGCTTATAATACAAATAGAATCTAATGAAACCAAATGGTAGCATCTTTGATGAACTACCTGAATTATTTAAAAACGCTTCTCTGAATAAGATCAGCTCTTGAGTATGGATGATGAGAAGATGTCATTGATTTGCCTACCCTGTATGGAAAACTGAAGTTCAATTGTAGTTGGTACTAAACAAAATCAACTTTAGAAACACTTCAGGTCTTAATAAAATGGCAATCTCTCTTCTATGTATAATGTTTTTATGTTTTCTTTTTACTAGAGTTTGATTGAAATTTTACATCAGAAATTCCCAGAGTCTGATACAGAGGAACAACATCAGGCTTATCTGAAACCCTTTCGCATCCTCATCAGTCTCCTTGACAAACCTGAAATAGGTAATACTGCTTGTCACTTCTGTTGTGACTGCTAACAACTGTTACAACTTGGTGTTCATTGCCTTTGACAGCAGGACCCAAGACAACACCCTGCACAATTCTTCCTAATTCTGAATATGTGTGCGTTGTGTATTTGCATGCAGGGGGCTATGTTCCTTGCCTTGGACCTGTTCAGAACGGTGCTCTGGAGCAGGCACCCTCTTCAGCTTATCTCTGGCTCTTTGGCAGAGTGCTCCACTGTGCAGCATGGATGTATCCTAGTGAGGGTAACTCTCTTCCATGCCCAGAACTGTGATCTGAGGAGCCAGTTATAAAGAACCACTTCTGCCCTAGTCTCAGTATTCTGCTCAACTCATTCCTTGAAGCTCATTCTCTAAAATACTGTCAAGCCTCTTTTTGTTCTGTCTTATAAAGCAGCTTCCATGTGGAAAACCACCAGCACTACTGTGGCCTGGGTTTGTTTCCAGTGCTTTGCTGTGCTTGCAGGCCTTCCTCTACACGTCTATTAGACTCTCATGACCATGTTGCTTTTCCAGACAGTGTAGTCCCACAGGCAGCTAGCCTATGGTGGCACTGCTGCCAAAGCGGGCGGTACCACTTACCTGCGGGTGGTTCAGCTGGAAATAAGCTGTTATGGGTGTGGGGAGGTAGGGATGCCTCTGTCAGTGGCACTGCCAGCTTGTACTGGCCTGATACTGCTGTGCTACAGTTTGAGACTTAATGACTGAGCTGTGAAGAATTTTCTCCTCTTTCTTGGCTGTCACCTCTGTCCTGTTGTGTACAGGAAGCTGCCAGCACCAGAAGGGTGAGGCTCTGCTGGCCCTTGTTTTAAAGGGCAAGTTCTCCTTTCTGCATCAAAAAATTAAGCCGAAGTGACTTGACAGATTTTGGATTTAACAGTTCTCTGTAAGAACCATGTACAGATAAATCTTTGAATTTATATTCTGTGAATCTGACAGGTAGGAGAAGCCTATGGACTGGTTAACTGATATTTGTTAGAAGTTGATAGAGTCTTAACAACTGACTGTATCCCAAACTGGTGTTCTAGGTATTATCCTGGGTAGGGGAATGATGTTACCATTGACTAACCCTGTAGACTTAGAATTAAAATCATGTACTGAGACTAAACACTTGAGTGGCAGTTGGTTTTGCAGGCTTCTGTATCTCGTAAGCTTATCCTCTTTCATGGGTCAGAAAAAGTCCTTTTAAGCACATTTCCTGTTAAAGAATTATGAAAGCACTGCCAGGAAAAATAAGGATTCTGTATTGCTTACCTAACAAATGAATGATACCTTAGTAGAAGTGTTTGTTAATCTCTTTATAAGACAGTGATGCTAATATTTTCTTCTGCTGGTTTTATCTTTTTTTTTTTAACTGGATTTTTTTAGCTGTTTTTTTGTTTGTCTTTTTACATCTATCATAATTAAAGCCTCTTATATAAAGAGGTTTTGTTTCCTGACAAAAATGCTGAAAACACAGGTGACTAAGGTTGTTACATTATAAATTTCTTGATTAATCTAATTTAGAAAATAGATGACAGATACTACCCTATTGTGTTTTACTTGGCTGATGCTCAGTGTTAAGCTGAATTACAAATAAGGGTTATTTAGCTGAAGTACATTGTACAGTTTAATCTTTCTGTTCCAGTCAGCACACAAAATATAACTTCTCAAGCCTTTGACTTTCATTTTTTGAAATGGATTTAG